ACGGGACCGGCCTACCACCACCACCATGGCCAGCCGCGCCTCAGGAGAAGGACACTCCTGCCGCGGGAACGCATTCGTGTTCGGGGGGCCCAGCGGCCCTCCTCAGCCCGGCCAGCTCGAAAGCTACAGGCGGAGCAAGGGGGAAGGCAGACAAGACAGAGCTCCCTCTCAGCCCCGGCTTGGGATCACACGGGACCGCTGCCCATGAGGGCTATTGCCACTGAGGGCTGCTGGGGGTGGGGCGTCACTGCTTACTGCTGGAACGGTGGTCCGCCCCGCTCTGGCCCAAAATGACCCCTGTACATGAGGCCAAGCTGGAAGCAGGCAGGGTGCTCTTTTGAAGCAAAATTCTCCATCTCTGTAGTAAGGGGGGCTTGGCTGACTTCACCACCACTCAGGGGTAGTAACAGGTACATGAGCAGAATTAGCAGTTGTACATGAGCAGAATTAGCAACTGAATTAGCAGTTGCCACTGGAAGGCACCTCAGGGTGGTAAGGCATTCCAGATTCCTCTTCTAATGTCATCGCAGGGACACTTGCTCAGTATTCCTAGTAGAGTCAATGATTGTCAGTCCAGGTGCCCCATTTTCCCCAGAGAGTTGTTATTGTCATTAAAGATACAACCATTGGTACTGACATCAGTAATTTTCTTCACTAAGTTCTCTTGGGTTCTCTTGAGCTTTTTCTTCACTGCTGAGTTATTCACTATATTCTCTTGCGGGGAAGTTGTAGAGAGACTGTCTGGATTCCATAAATCCACCACTGCTGGCACTAGGAGGGTCGGGAGAATTTTTGTCTCTTGGCAGCTCTCTAACGTGTTTGGCACTGAAGAAGGATTTGACCTTTGCTGTATTGGATCATTTTTAATTTCCAGGAGCTTGTCTCTTAATCTCCTAGTCTAGTAGTAATTATCAGTTGTTCAGAAGGTGGGAGGGCTGAAAAGGAGTTGAGTAATTCTTCTTCAACTGAATTTTCAAGGAAAGAGCGTACTGGGACTATATTCAGATCTAATGAAGAGTTAGGCATTTGAGCTGAGGCTCTCTGTACCACAACTACTGGTGCCACTTCTGGAGTAGAGCTCTCAGCCTCCATATGGAGGTCATTTTTTGCCAGCTAGATAACAGGGGGTTTACAATCAGTTCAATGATAGGGAAATGGCTGAGCAGCTAAATGCATTTTTTGCCTCTGTCTTCACTGTGGAAGATGAGAAGTGCTTGCGCACTCCAGAACCTCTGATTCCAGGAGGGGTGTTGAAAGACCTGAGTCAGATTGAGGTGACGAGAGAGGAGGTCCTAAAACTGATGGACAACTTAAAAACTGATAAATCACCAGCCCCAGATGGCATACATCCGAGAGTTCTGAAAGAACTCAAATGTGAACTTCTGGATCTCCTTACAAAAACAAGTAACCTTAAAATCTGCCTCCATTCCTGAGGACTGGAAGGTAGCTAATGTCACTCCCATCTTTAAAAAGGGTTCCAGAGGAGATCCGGGAAATTACAGGCCAGTCAGTCTGACGTCGATACCGGGTAAATTGGTGGAAACCATTATTAAGGAAAGAATTAGTAGGCACATAGATGAACAAAACCTATTGAGGCAGACTCAACATGGGTTCTGTAAGGGAAGATCTTGTCTCACTAACCTATTAGTGTTCTTTGAGGGGGTGAACAAACATGTGGACAAGGGGGATCCAATAGATATTATTTACCTTGACTTCCAGAAAGCTTTTGATAAAGTTCCTCATCAAAGGCTCATAAGTAAGCTCAAAAATCATGGGATAAAAGGACAAGTCCTTTTATGGATCAAAAACTGGCTAATTCATAGAAAACAGAGAGTGAGTATAAATGGGCAGTTCTCTCAGTGGAGGGGGGTAAGCAGTGGGGTACCGCAGGGATCAGTACTTGGTCCACTGCTTTTTAACTTGTTCATTAATGATTTGGAGATGGGAGTAAGCAGTGAAGTGGCTAAATTTGCGGATGATACAAAGTTGTTCAAGGTGGTGAAAACCAGTGAGGATTGTGAGGCACTCCAAAGGGATCTGTCAAAGATGGGCAAGTGGGCGTCAACATGGCAAATGGGGTTCAATGTGGCCAAGTGCAAGGTGATGCACATTGGAGCCAAAAATCCTAAATATAAATACACATTGATGGGGTCTGAACTGGCAGAGACTGAGCAAGAGAGAGATCTTGGAGTTGTAGTGGATAACTCACTGAAAATGTCGAGACAGTGTGTGACTGCAATAAAGAAGGCCAATGCTATGCTGGGGATTATTAGGAAGGGTATTGAAAACAGATCAGCCAATATAATAATGCCCCTATATAAATCAATGGTGAGACCTCATTTGGAATACTGTGTGCAGTTCTGGGCACCACACCTTAAAAAGGATATTATAGCTTTGGAAAAAGTGCAGAAAAGGGCAACTCGAATGATAAAAGGGTTGGAACACTTTCCCTATGAGGAAAGGTTAAAGCGCTTAGGGCTCTTTAGCTTGGAGAAAAGACGACTGAGGGGTGACATGATCGAGGTTTATAAGATTATGCATGGGAAAGAGCAGGTAAAGAAAGAGGTACTTTTCTCCCTTTCTCACAATACAAGAACCCGTGGGCACTCCATGAAATTGCTGAGCGGTCGGGTTAGAACGGATAAAAGGAAGTACTTCTTCACCCAAAGAGTGATTAACACATTCTTGGTGCTTGGGGGGGGGGGTCAACAGTGGGGGGGCTTCTAATGTCCTGGCCCCACTGGTGGACCTCCTGATGGCACTGGTATTTCTGGCCACTGTGTGATACAGAGTGTTGGACTGGATGGGCCTTTGGCCTGATCCAACATTGGCGTCTCTTATGTTCTTATTAAAAACTCTGGCAGGGAAGACCCCTTTGGAGAACAAAAGTTCTTTCTGGCATAGCAACAAGCTAGGAATTCTGGGACTACCAAAGGTCAGAAGAACCTTTTGTGTCTGGTGTAAGTTGTTAAGTGCCTCAACTGCAATTAAATCTGTAGATATTAAGTTCTCATGTAAAAGGGTTCTTAGATGGTAATTGGCCCGTCTTACTGAATTCCGTTATATCATCTGGCCTTTGTAAGTGCAAACAGTTAGGCAGATTTTACAGGGCTGTAGCTTTAATTGGAATTGAGTCTTTGCAGCTTGCAACTGCTGAGCCTTGTCTTTATGTGAGCTCCATTTTGATGAAGGGGCAGTTTTCTAAAAGTGAACTCAGCCGAGTCTGTGCTAACTGTAGTGTGCAATGGAAACCTCTGGGTAAGTCCCATAAGTTAGTCTATTTTTCCTTCCAGTTTTAATAGTCTTTCAAAAATAAGTTCCACATTTTCCACTGTTAATTGCAAGGAGTGGAGCAGCATAGTGTCGGGGCTTCTGCTGCTAACAAGATCAAGTTCTTTTGTTGATGTATGCCGTTGACATGGTTTAACTCCCCTCTCAACTTCACAATCAGCGTCCTCAAAATTTATGAGGGGAGTAAAACAATTAGAAGTTGGAAAAGCAGAGGTGAGGGGTGATGAATTCGGCATGAGAAGGTCATCCATTTTAGTCTGCTTTGGGGGGGGGAGATAAATCTTCTGCATCACTCCCATTAACTGGAGAGAACCTTCAAACTCCAAATGCACAGAGACAGAAGAAGAAAAAAGAAAAACTGCCAATCACCAAACTAGGCTCAGAAAGAATTTTCAGCTCAAGGCATGATAGAGGCACTTATCTTAAAGCCGGATAGAAGCAGGAGCTATGCGCTGGTGTGTCTGCTCAGGACGCCATATTCCCTCAACCAAGCCAAGCTCCACAGTGCAAGGTTATGTAAAAAGAAAAATCCAGGGTTATTAGCTGACTTCATAAGAACATAAGAGAACATAAGAGATGCCAATGTTGGATCAGGCCAAAAGCCCATCCAGTCCAACACTCTGTATCACACAGTGGCCAGAAATACCAGTGCCATCAGGAGGTCCACCAGTGGGGCCAGGACATTAGAAGCCCTCCCACTGTTGACCCCCCCCCAAGCACCAAGAAGACAGAGCATCACTTGCCCCAGAGCCCCTATCTATACCTTGTGGCTAATAGCCACTGATGGACCTCTGCTCCATATGCTTATCTAATTCTCTTTTGAACCCGTCCATGCTTGTAGACTTCACCCTTGAAGAATTTTTTTCCTAACTCCAGACACAACAATCAGCCAGACCCCATCCATGCAGAGAACCCACCAACTAAGTACATCAGAACTCTTGTGCTCCATGCTTAGTTTTACTCAGTTATTGTCTGGTTCTACTCCCGCCCCCAATCAGTTAACATCCTAGCAACACATATGTTTATTGTAAATCCTAAAACAGCACCAAAAATCTTGTGAAAGATAAATAAATAAATAAATTCCATTTGGGGGAAAAACACTTGTCCTGTTCCAGAGATGAGCCATATGGTCTGGTCTGCTAATGCAAAGTTTGACCATTGTCTTCTCCAGACACAGATATAGAGCGCGTGCACCTAAAGGCTATGTTGAAGAGAGCTGGGGAGAATGAGAAACTCCAGACAGACATTTCAGTGTTTGTTGCCCATTCTGGAAAGAAGTGAATCAGGAATATATGTATCTGAAAGACATACTAAATGTCATGCAAGTGAAAAAATTGTAAGCAAATTCTCACAGGCGTGGGGTGGGGGGGGTCACATAGCATTGGGGCAGTCTGCCAATTGTCCTTCCCATTTGAAGGCTCTCCAGATGCTTAGGACAAAAGCAAATAACATTGCTGCTTTTGCACTGTTTCTCACTTCACTTGCTTAATGTGAAGGGGGTGTGGCTGCAATAAAAAGTTGCAGGATGAATTAAAGCTAAAAAAAATACAGTTTAAGTCCAAAGCAGCTAGAGGTTACAGCAATCTGTTCTGTTTCAGTTTGGTTTTTAATATGAAATTGCTTTTGGCATTTCTTTTGGACTTCTTTTGGCCATCATCCAAAAATGCTTTCTTTTCAGCTAACTCTAGATCCTTATATTTGCTTTATAGGAACAGGTAGTGATGAACTTGGACAGCCGATTGTTGGTCTTTCCTCTGTACATTTGTTGTAATTTCCTGTATACTTCCCCAGAGAAACGAATGGAGAACGATGGGTCGCCAGATAACCTGGAAAACTGAGCATTATCTTTGAAACTCAGCACTGTTAATCCGTTTTCTTGAATGCTTTAATTCATATGCTGCATTGGTGCACAGAAGGAAAAGTAATAAAAAAGCCTTATGTACTGTAACAGATGAAATGCAACTTCTCTGTATCTATACATTCCTATGCATTTTTGAAACATTTACAATTAAGTATGGCAACCTTATGTTTTTATAAGCATCTTCAGAGGAGGCTGCACACTTGGAAATTAGATTCCCCCCCCTTGCTTATTACAAACTGAATTGCAGCTGGCAAAACTGGGCCTGTTTAAATGTTAATAGTGCATTTGTATAATCCATGATAAACTTAGGTTGCCCTGTTATTTCTATTGGACGGTGTCTAGGTTTTGTTCTGGGTGACCTTTGTATGTTTTAGGGGTCAGTTCTTTCCCTGATTTAAACTGATTTTTTTCCTCTGCATTCAACGTTTGTGCTTTTGGGTGGAGCACACTTTGAGTTTTTTATTCATTAAGCGTTTTAGGATTGTATTAAGTTGAGTCCTTTTATGTAATATATGCTTACATGTATATTTTACTTGTTCTCGAGGTATTTTTTTTTAACATTGAGTGTATTTTTAAAGTTTGTTTTGTGGAATGCACAAGAGAAGAGATGAATCTAGCTGTTCCAGTCCTGCAATTTTAGTGCTACTGCAGAGGCTTCAGTCCACCTACAGTTCTGCGCAGGCACCTGCCTCAGCAGTTGGGGAGTGTTTTTTCACAGGCCATTAAAGCACAGATCATTCCCCAATCCTGACATGTGTGAAGAGGTTCCTGCTGGTAGGATTGCCAGACCCAGAGCAGGTGTTGCCTTTAAGAATTGCATCGAAAAGAATATTCTGTCCACCACAGCTTATCTTTTCATTACAGTTGTGGCAAGAGCCGTGCTTGTGACATTTTGAATCATATGACACTCTTAAAACGCACAAGAGGCCTCTCAGGTCCTGAGCCTAGAAACATTTTTTTAACTTCCTTGGAGACATGTGTTGCAGCATGAATGGTGGTTCGAATGCTTGAGAAGGCTTTAAGAAATGATGTTATCTTTGATAAACTCTCCATGGTGTGCCTTGCACCTTCTCATTCTCTCTCACCTGAGCCTGTCAACAAGTTTCACATAGAATTCCATTGAAGCCAGAAGTGTGCCAAGAGCAAGGTTCTCAAGCAAGATAGCTTCATTAATTCATGTAGTGCAAGTAAACATCCTGATTATGCTCAGGAACTTGTGACCTTGGAGTGCCTTTTGGGTTATATATGTATTGGAACAGTATTCACCTCACTTAAGCTAGGTTGCAGGATTCAAAATAAGGAACCAAGACAATAGATGTCTTGGGTTGGTATACAAAAAAGAGTGATCCATTAAAGTCAAGTTGTAAACTTTTACGTCCTTTGTATATACCCATTTTTTTTTAATTTGCTGTTGAATCTTATGTTTTTGTTGATAGCCTATTTTGTAATGTTACTTTAAAAAGTACTCTTTTATGCTATGAGGATAAAAATAACATGTTCAGTTGTCTGAAACTATGTTAAATTGTGAATAAACATCTCCAGTTAATTTCTAGTTCAGTGTCAGTATCCTTTTTTTGCTCTTTGAAGCTGAGCTGGTCCCACTGTAAGGGGGCATTACCAAAAATCAGCCACTTGGAAATTTATTTGGTTGAATTTTAGCAACACTCCACTAAGTTACAGTGCTGAGTGGATGCTCTCTGCATTTTAGTTTAAAACTTCATGAGAGCCAGTTTGGTATAGTGGTTAAGTGTGCAGACTTTAATCTGGGAGAACCAGGTTTGATTCCCCTCTCCTCCACTTGCACCTGCTGAATGACCTTGGAGAAGCCATAGTTCTATCAGAGCAGTTCATGAAAGAGCTCTCTCAGCCCCACCTACCTCCCAGGGTGTCTGTTGGGAAGGGAAGGGAAAGGAGACTGTAAGCTACTCTGAGACTCCAAGTGAAGGGCAGGGTATAAATCCAATCTCTTATCTTCTTATTTTAAAATAACCAAATGTGAGGAAATAGAAGAAAACCTCTAAGGCTTATAAATCACATAGATGCAGGTAAAAGCTATAACGAATAAACAGGGACCTGCAAGGACTTTCACAGGAATCTCATTTCCCTCTCCCCCCCCCATTGTTTCCTGTTCTCCTTCTCTGAAAGCCCCTATAGCCTCTTCCCTTTTCCTGTTTCTATCTCACTGGCCCACCCACCAGCCAACCTACGTTCATCTCTCCCCCCCCCCCCCCCCACTCTCCGTTTTTCTCCTCCGAAAAA